GTCATCATCCTCTGTTTCTGAATTAAACAGCTGCGCTAAATCAGACATGACAGTTTCCCCTTCTTCGCTGTCAGTCACTTTCCGTGCAGCGCAGCTCCTCAGAAATAATGCCGGCTTTTGCAAAAGCTTGAACAACAGAGCCAGCAGACACTAGTCCAAGCATCTACAATCCATCCGCAAACGGTGGCGTAACTTGCCCGGCGCTGCCTTCCACTTATCCTGAAACTGTGGTCTCTGTCGGTCATCCATCGCTCCCACGCCGCTCGCAGCCTTGCTTTGAACGGCCGCTTCACACCGATGTCGAGCGGTTGAAGCTCCTTTGTCAAACCCCCGGGATAACGGCGAGCACAGTATCCATTTGATTCACCTTTTTTTCCACATCGGCTGTGAGATGGGCACGTAGCGATGGTGATGCGTGGAAAAAACCACCTGGTCTCCTCACATAGGCTACACCTCCCTCAGCTACGCTTTCATCATCTCATCCATCCAGCCTTTTCCATTTGCGTTAATATCATATGTCATCAGAGCGCTGTGTCTGTCTCGCTGTCAGCTCCCAGATCAGCTTCTCTGATTGGTTGATGCGGCCCATCCAGCAGCAAAACTTCAATTTTTCCATCTCGAGCAGCAGCAGCGCGTTGGCAGATGCTTAAACGCTCCTGCAGCTCAAAACGCGCTGCAGGACCTTTTGCTGCACCTATACACGCGTCAGCCATTTACTTTGCATGTAAACTCGCTGCTTCTGCTGCACCTGCTGCACCTGCTGGGTCCGGTTCACACCGATGTCGAGCGGTTCAACAGCGAGCACAGGGTTAATTTGTTTCCCCTTGTTTTTCACATCAGCTGTGAGATGGGCACGCATGGAGTTACATATTAACAGCGATGGTGATGAGTGGGAAAAAAAACACCTGGTCTCCTTACATTCAGCCACTCTTTCATCATCTCCTCAATGAGGTGGTCTCAAAAGTCGCAGTTACAACACACAGGGCGCACCGCACCATAGGGCGCACTGCACATTTTGAGGGGGAAAAAGACGTTTAAGTGCGCCTTATAGTCGTGAAAATACGGTATTAACGTAGAGAGACCAAATACCACAGCAAGTAACTTTTTTTTTAAATAAATGATGAAAACCATGTGTCTTTTTCTTCCACTTTGTAACTTTGCTCTACTTTGAGTGGATTTTTTCACATGAAATTCCTGAAAACACTAAAGTTTCTGGATGCAGCATTAGTAAATGTGAAACACTTGAGAAGCTAAAGAGCATTCCGGGCTGCTTTAGTAAAGTTGGTGTTAAATTTTCTGGTTTATTTGAGTGTGCCACCTTCATCAATTGGCTGAACTCTGACACTATTTAAAGTTAAGAGGATGACAGATAGAACAAATTCCAAAAAATGAGTGTTAAAACGTGAGTATTTTTATTTAAAATTCAGAAATTACTAACAGAATAAGAATTGAATAGTTTTGAATGACAACATAATTTTAGGTCATTTATTGCTTTTTCAAGCAAAAGCAGCAGCCCCCTGTAATTATCACATGAAACCATCATTTCCATGTCAGTGAATGTTTTTTCAAAACAGTTTCCTTTCATTTCCACTATGTATTCACTGATGAAGGGTGGCAGTCTACTTAACTACCCTCCTGCAAACACCTGAGCAGGCTGAAATTTGCTGGGCTATGACAGGTTTGCTCATCCTAAAGGTCTTGTTTGAACAACTGGAAGGATGCCCAGAGATGACATCAGTACAAATTCGCTCATGCCACTCCTGACAGCTTTGGCGGAAAGCCAACCTGCTGTGGGGTGGGGTTGCAGGTCAAAACCGGTGCCAGTGTTTTGAGTTTTTCCAATTCACTGGAAAATACTGGACATACAGACGTATGTCATGCCAACACTATGACAGTAAGCATGTGTTCTGGAGTTATTTCTATTTATGATTTCATTAATTTTTAAAGCTTTTGTTGTGAAATGCAGAGGACCTGCAGAACACCAAAATGTTAAGTGGAGCAAAGAAATAAAATTCCACTCGCCTGCAGGAACATGATCCCATCTTTCCAGTCACTCTCTCCCTCTCTCATTCTTCATACACTTTCCAGAAGCTTTTATAATAAGGCTGCATGGATAGACTTGACATTGGCCATTAATGACTTTGCTACTTTTTTCACATTTTAACAGCTCCTAGCAGAGCCAGCCCGGGGAATATGGTAAGTTTGTGCAGAAGTAGGGGACACAAAAGCGATACTTCAATCTCTCAGAATAAAATCTCTCTTTTGTCAAAATTACACCCATAATTAAATGTTTATCCATAGGGGTCACAGGGCTGGTGCTTATATCTAGCAGTCTATGTGCTAAAGAGGGGCAGTACACCCCAGACAGATTGCCAATCTATTGCAGGGTAGAGACATTATAACAGGGCAATTTAGAGATGCCTATTATACTAAGAGTCTTTTTTTTTTTTACTGCTGGAGGAAGCTGGACTACCTGAGAGAACCCACACATGCACAGGGAAAAGCAATCATTGAGTGGTAGTACAAACAAAGCTGCTCAAACAGAGCATTAATTTGATAAGCAACCAACTGGTCCATGGCAACTCTGAAGGAATTTCAGAAATACACATCTCAGGTGGAAGATTCTACTAACAAACACACACAAAAAAATAAGCACTTTCATAATCTGATCTGTCTGGAGAAGTAGAAAGAGAAAAAATGGAAGTCCTGTGTGCTTTCTGTCATAAACCATACAGTGCACACATCAGAAATGGGGTAGAAAGTGTCGAGGTAAGAAGAAACCTATTTAGGTTTCGAATCACATATGAAATGCTTTTTGTGCAAGAAAATAAAAACTGCACATCCGTCTGAAGACATCTTCCCCATAGCGTAGCACCGAGGTGGCAGCATAATGTTTTAGGAATCATTTTCTTCAACAGGGACAGCAAAATTTGTCAGATTTTATGTGGGACGGACTGAGCTCAATACATCTTTATGCTGAAAGAAATTATGGTGTGTAGGTCTGAGGACTTAAGGCTGAGTAGAGTTGAGCAGGTCTCCGTGGATGAAGTACGACCCGGAGCAAGAGCTGTAGCTGTTTATAGTTAATGCTGACACTAGTGCAGTATTCTCTGAAACACCAGGGGCAGCACACCTCTAGACATTGGAAACGTAGTGAAAAGTGAGGAAAAAACACCTCACACACACGAAAACTGCTGTGTTCCCTTTCAAACGAATTATTTGTTATTAACTTAATTCTGTATTTTTCAAAACTTTAAACACATAAGAGTAAAACCATCAAGAGAAAACCTACTTTTCACCTCTTTGTAAAGATATAAAACTATACATTTTAGAAACATTTTTTTTATCTTAGTCTATTTGTTGTTGTTATTGTTGTTGTTTTTTTTAATTAGTACGCTTTTCCCAAAATGCTTGAATAATGATTTATTTTCTTTGTCAAAGGTATGCATTTTTTTTTTTTTTATTTGGAATGGAACAATGTGCGCGGCTTCCGAGCCGAGTTAGGTGCATGACCACGCGGAGCAACTGCATGAAGTGTCAGCATGGACCCTGTGTTCTGATGTGATTGTGTCACTGTTGGCATACATCCCCTTGTACACCTGCAAGTTTAAGCCTGTCACTTTCAAAGTTAATTTGCTGTTTTGCCATTCTGTGACACAGTGAATTCAAGGTATTGGCTCACTTGTTAATTGATGACAAACTTAATGCTTAAAGCATAAGTGATTAGGTTTGAACAACTTGCAGTTTCATATGATTATGATGATTAGTGAATAAGTGGTGGTAAATGGGCACCAAAATCAAATGCAGCTTTGGCCCCCTTAAACATAGACTCAGCACTGCTTCCTGCATACATCTCATTCTGCGGTGTCTAATTTCCTCGATTGCACTTTTTGTGACTTCTTTTTTCCAAGAAAGTTTAAAGTTACATCCAAGTATTGAACCCTAATTTCCTAAAGTATCTTTTAGGTGTTAATGCATTAAATGGATCATTGACAACACTTGATAATGCCTAAAGAATAGACCACAACAAAGGAAATATCTGTCTATATTTAGGGAAAGTAGTGATGTCATCCACTAAGTGCTTGCAGTTGAGAATCAGACATATAGAAGCTCAACTTATTCAAGATGTGCACTGGATGGAAAATAGGGAGTCTGTATTTTTTAACCCAGGTAAAATCATTTTTTCTCCTGCATAATATTCCACAAGCTTTATGGTGATTTCTTACATTTAATATATTTTTATTGTCTGGATAAATAGGCAATGAAAATTTATTCTTTTAAACAACTCTTTGGAAGATTTTAAAAGAAGTCCTCTGATTTAATTTGTTGCCTGTGCATGCTGAAACAAAATGGGCTGCACATTTGTTATAAATGACGTGCTGGTTAAAACCATTTGGCTCAGTCTTGCTTTCAAGTATATTCAACCCATTCACAATAAATCGCCCATGAAAGATTTGAAGGGTGAGACACAAAACCGTCTGACAGGAAAGAAAAAAAGTGCCCTTCTAAACTGAACTTTACAGGCAGGCCATTTATTACCACTTTCCAATCTGGCAGAAAATCACCCAAAGGAAATTTTTCCCCTCTTTCCAGTGTTGAATGGCTTAAAGCTATTTTTTTTTTTCATAAGCCACTGCAAAGGGATTTCATCAAGTTGATTAGCTCATTCCTCCCCAGTGCTTTAGTCTTAAAATCAACTTTCAATAAGAACCAGCACTATTAATATACTGTTTAACGTGTCAAAAAAAGTCAAAATGTATGCTTCATATTATTCTTATTAATGAATAATTCCATCTATTTCTTCCAGCAATGAATTAATGCTTAAACATGCATACCATAAATGTGTGACTTCTAAAAACAACAATACAATTATTAGAGTATTGTAAAAAAAATAATAATAATAAATAAACTGGCACGTGCAACACAAACTTAACCAGAACCTAGTATGCTGAGTGTAAAAAAAAGCTCATCCTTAAAAATCTAATAAAAGCTGTGTTTACCTGTCCATCCGCGTTGTGGAGCTAAAAAGGTAAAGAATAACGCCAAAAGCGTCCTGCTTGCAGCTGAAGCCATAGTGAATGTGACGCTGTGCAGCTGTGGAGCGCAGGAACAGCTGGAAGCAGAGGGCAGGGACACAGCTACCCTCCCTCCTCTGTCTGCTGATGGGAACCGCGTTAAATCCCGCCGAGTGGTTATAGAGCTGAATAGATCATTCCAATGAGTTGTGTATTTTGTGGTCCAAAGTCATAGATTTGACTAGGAATTGGTAAAATAACAAAGATAATTAAAATATAAAAGAATATAAGATCTGTTTTCTTGCACGCGCAACAAACTTTGACTCACAATGAGCTGTGACTGTGAGCAGGTCATCTCAGTCTTACAGGTGCTGCATATTGCTCTTTACTGTTGTGCAAATGATGAAGCCAGTGTAACTTAGTTTAAGGAAATATCTCCCTCTTCAGGAGGCGAAATTAATTCACCCAAAAAAAGAAAAAAAAGTTTAATTCTTTTTTTTTTTTTACAACAATTATGTTAAAAGCTATGGAAGCCCGTTTCCGCCACTCTGTAAAAAAAAAAAAGAAAAACTATCTCAATATAATGAGATAGTATCTCAATATAATGAGATAGTAACTCAATATAATGAGATAGTATCTCATTATATTGAGATAGTTTTTTTTTTTTTTTTACCATTTTTTTAAGTTAAAATTGAGTATTTTTGGTCAATAGCTCCCAGGTCATGTGACCTATTGATGCAAAATCAGTGTGAAATTGTTCTACTAGTCTCTGTAGATGGGGCACACTCATTTGATTTTCATTTTAACTCTTTTTTTTTTATTTTTTACCAATTTTTTTAGTTAAAATTGAGTATTTTTGGTCAATAGCTCCCAGGTCATGTGACCTATTGACCCAAAATCAGTGTGAAATTGTTCTACTAGTCTCTGTAGATGGGGCACACTCATTTGTTTTGCATTTTAACTCTTCTTTTTTTATTTTTTTACCAATTTTTTTAGTTAAAATTTAGTATTTTTGGTCAATAGCTCCCAGGTCATGTGACCTATTGACCCAAAATCAGTGTGAAATTGTTCTACTAGTCTCTGTAGATGGGGCACACTCATTTATTTTTCATTTTAACTCTTTTTTTATTTTTTAGCAATTTTTTAAGTTAAAATTGAGTATTTTTCTTCAATAGCTCCCAGGTCATGTGACCTATTGACCCAAAATCAGTGTAAAATTGATCTACTAGTCTCTGTAGATGGGGTACACTCATTTGTTTTTCATTTTAACTCTTCTTTTTTTATTTTTTACCAATTTTTTTAGTTAAAATTGAGTATTTTTGGTCAATAGCTCCCAGGTCATGTGACCTATTGACCCAAAATCAGTGTGAATTGTTGGGTCCCCCCTTACATGGGCCCACCACCCGTGAGAGGGGCCATAAGGATCGTATGCAATGTGTGTTGGCCGGGGGAGGGGACCCTGGTGGTCCGATCCTCGGCTGCAGAAGCTGGCTCTTGGGATGTGGAATGTCACCTCGCTGGTGGGAAGGGACCGGAGCTAGCGTGTGAGGCTGAGAGGTTCCAGCTAGAAATAGTCTGTCTCACCTCGACGTATGGTTCTGGTTCTGGAACCAGTCTCCTTGAGAGGGGCTGGACATACTTCCACTCTGGAGTTGCCCACAGTGAGAGGCGCTGGGCAGGAGTGGGCATACTTGTTGCCCCCCATCTCGGCGCCTGTACGTTGGGGTTCATCCCGGTGAACGAGAGGGCTCCGCCTAAGGGTGGGGGGACGGGTTCTGACTGTTGTCTGTGCTAACGGGCCGAACAACAGTTAAGATTACCCACCCTTCTTGGAGTCCTTAGAGGGAGAACTGGAGGGTGCCTCTCCTGGGGACTCCCTTGTTCTGCTGGGAGACTTCAACGCTCACGTGGGCAATGACAGTGAGACCTGGAAGGGCATGGTTGGGAGGAATGGTCACCCCGATCTGAACTCGAGTGGTGTTCTGTTGTTGGACTTCTGTGCTCGTCATGGATTGTCCATAACGAACACCATGTTCAAGCATAAGGGTGTCCATATGTGGTAAAAAATAGAAAAAGAGTTAAAATGAAAAACAAATAAGTGTGCCCCATCTACAGAGACTAGTAGAACAATTTCACACTGATTTTGGGTCAATAGGTCACATGACCTGGGAGCTATTGACCAAAAATACTCAATTTTAACTAAAAAAATTGGTAAAAAAATAAAAAAGAGTTAAAATGAAAAAAAAATGAGTGTGCCCCATCTACAGAGACTAGTAGAACAATTTCACACTGATTTTGGGTCAATAGGTCACATGACCTGGGAGCTATTGAAGAAAAATACTCAATTTTAACTTAAAAAATTGCTAAAAAAATAAAAAAAGAGTTAAAATGAAAAACAAATAAGTGTGCCCCATCTACAGAGACTATCTCATTATAATGAGATACTATCTCATTATATTGAGTTACTATCTCATTATAATGAGATACTATCTCATTATATTGAGATACTATCTCATTATAATGAGATACTATCTCATTATATTGAGTTACTATCTCATTATAATGAGATACTATCTCATTATATTGAGTTACTATCTCATTATATTGAGTTACTATCTCATTATAATGAGATACTATCTCATTATATTGAGTTACTATCTCATTATATTGAGATAGTTTTTTTTTTTTTTTTTTACAGAGTGGCGGAAACGGGCTTCCATAAAAAGCAGCTGTAGTTTATAGCAAATAAAGCATTATTTTCCTACTTTTTCTTTTCTTTATTAAAATATTTGACAGTATATGACAGTATAATTTTAGGATAAAGTGTTCCCACCGTAGAGCTCCACATCATAGCTCATTTCTAACCAAATATCGCGCAATTTATTACACCTTTAAAACGAAATATTGGTAACAAAGACTGGGGCAGAGCCCAAAATCGCATGCGTCTCTGCATTTGATTTAAGGACAACTGTGGCCACAAGATGGCGCTGAGATCCTTTTTGTGTTTTAGTGTAGAACTGAGCTCCTGCATCCAACCAGTCCAACCATTACAGTTGTTTGTTTTCATCTTAGAGTGTGTGTTGCCAGTTTTGAGCAAGTCAATGTCTTTCAGGGACATGGGCAAACATTTCCTCTATTCAGGAGCTTTTTTATATATATATTCCAACGGATATTAAAAAGAAACATTTGATCTCTTAATTTTTTATTATTGTATTTTAATGAGAATGCTGATTTTGGTTGTATTTATTGTGGACATGAGAATAAGTGTAGGGGTGTGGTGTGCACTTTTAGAGCTACTGTGGAGGAGATTGTATAAAGCATTAATGCTGGAGGGTAGGGGGAAAAGGTCACCTCCAACTCTGTTCTACATGAGTGGTTGTAAGAGACACCTCAAAGCACTAGAATAGGGATGTCAAATTCTAGTCCTCGAGGGCTGGTATCCTGCAACTTTTACATATCTTCCTAGTGCTACACACCTTAATCAAATGGCTTCATTACCTCCTCAGTTAAAGTGAAGTGGTCAAGAGCCTTGAAAATTACATAATTATTTGAGTCAGGTGTGTTCAAGCTGAGATGTATCTCAAAGGTGCAGGACACTGGTCCTGCAGGACTAGATTCTGACATCCCTGTCCAAAAAGTACTGGTGAAATGTTTGATGGTAAGATTGAAACTACATATGAGAAAGGTCAGCTTTACTACTTGAGGAGGCTTAAGTCCTTTAACAAGAAACAAGAAAATAGGGACAACATTTGGGTGCAGATATACACACAATTATGCTGACATCATCGAGAAACTATTTTCTGGCATAACAATACAAAAAGCCGTCAAAGCTTGATGAGGTAGCTGAGGACAGACAACTAATAGTGCCACTCAAAACCTTGTGAGGGTGACTCCTAATATTTCCAAGCAATAATAAATAAACAGAAAAGCTCAGAAGAGGTTAATTCAGCCTTACCTTTACAATGAAAAATACAGGTTAGACTCAGCAAGAGTCTACTGATTTTAAGTCTGTGGAAATCTAATCTGATTTGTGATCTATTCTAAACATCTTGTTCGAAGCATTTTCATAACATTTTATTAATTTTGGCATTTCTATTTCATTTTATTCTCATGCTATTGTTGTCTTCTGCTTATCCAGGACCAAATCGTAAGACCAGCAGTCTCAGCAAAGACTCCCAGACTTCCCTCACTCAGAAACCTCCACCCCTGGTACCTCCCCGTAGTGTGACCTGCCTGAAACACCTCCTAATGGATGCATCCAAGGGGCATGTCCGAGTCAGCTCCGCTGACTACTCTCAATGTGAAAGATTAGAGGCCCTAAGGGAGTGCCTGGTTACCCTATGGAGGATACTTGAACTCCTCCGCTTTAGATTGGAACTCTCCTCTGTCCTGTAAAGTGGAAGCCTATCTTTTCCAATTCCAAACTGCGGACACAACTTAGGGTAGCTGATACTCATCCTGACCACTATGCTTTTGGCTTTGAACGGCCATGCTGTATGAATCCAGTGGAACTTCTCCAGAGATGGCAGATTTTTTTGGGTTGACCCATCGTCTTTTTCCATGGACTCATCAAACTCCTCCTAAGCCTCCTGTATGGCTCCTCCCAGTTTTAACTTCTGCAACTACAGCAAAATCAGTGGCACACTCATGGTATCTGTTTGCTGCTTCAGGTGCCTTACAAGTCAGCCATGCTTCATGGGACTCATTCTCCAGTATGACTGCATCCACTGCTGCTGGTGTCTATTCTATTCTATTCTATTCTATTCTATTCTATTCTATTCTATTCTATTCTATTCTATTCTATTCCCCATGTTCTGTCTATACAAGGTAGATTTGGTATGATGAAGGTAATTTAAAGTAGGCATTTACCTTAACTTTTGTTTATGATATAATTAAGCTTTTGTTTTTTTATGTAAAGTTTTTATTCTATTTATGAAAGTCTTCCTAAAAACAAAAATATTTTTTTGTTTGGCACTACAGATTGAATGGCTTCATGATTTCTGGTCTCCACTTTACAATGCAACACCTAAACTAAATCTTAACAAATGTATCTTAAACTCATATTGATATATAAAAAATTGCAAAACAATTTGACTTGTTAATTCAACATGGGCTATTGGATATTTATTGTATTTATCTCTATCTTAGCCTGGTTGGAAGTTTTTTTTTTGCACACTGAAAAATGCTCTGTTCTCAGGTCTTTACATTTCATTAACTCAATTCAAATTGTTTTCAGCATTGCTTTTCAGATAAATAAATGACAATTATTGCAGCTAGCCAAAAACAATGTCTGAGTCACCACAAAACCTAATGCATTTTTAAATAGGGAACTCTCAATGAAGCCAATTATTATTTCTCACTCTCTCTGCAAAGCAGCAAAACAAAAGGCTAAGATCCTGTCAAAGCTTCACACAAAGAGACTGACTAAAATGAGCTGCATTCCTCCAGAGGTAATGCTTCAGCAGGCTTAACATACAGGCTGCAACGGGCTCTGAGATGTTATACACATGCTTGAGGCTATTTGTGACATGTTGCCCTGATGGACCCAAAAAAGAACGCAAGATGCTGATAACATAAGTCATATTCACTGATTTATAAAGTGACTGTCTACAAGCTTTTCACAGGTGAGAGTTGATGCAAAGCGAATGCTCCAGTTCTATCAACATTTTGTTTAATATAACTTTCTTATTTTTTTTTTCTTTGGCAACTTTGCTTTTCTTTGGAACGATGACACCAATTATAACATTGTTTTGATTTAAGAACACACATTATTGTTTGATTTTAGATACAGGCAAGCAGGCCTTCCTAAATTTCAGAGTATTATTTTTGTGACATAGAGGCTTGCAATTAACATTTTATTTAGCTCAGCTGGTTTTTAATGGCTGAAATAATTAATTAAATGAATTAATTTAATGGGCCATACAAAACTATCATCAGTTTAACAAATACATATATATAATAAAATGAAATAGTCTGAAGATGAAAAAACAACAATAAAACAAAAACACATAAAAGCAGCAACTAGGTGGATTTCAAATAAACTTTACAACTATCTCATGGTCTACAGTCTGAGGTCTTCAATATGGACATGCTTGAATAATATTACATTTACTTTGTTTCATCACTGAGAAATTTAGGCAACATCTCACTCTCTTCCTAAACGGGTTCCAAATGTTTGCATCAAGACCTGATAAATGTGCAGCTATTGTTGATTTATTTATTTCAGAACAGTAGCAGAGAAACCCATTCTGCATGAAGGTTATAAGCAATAACACAACAAAGACATAATATGAACTGTAACATTAACAGAGTCAAATGATTTTAGGAAGCAAAATGTCTGCAGTCTGCAACACTAATTTTCACATGAGGAATCTTTGGGCCAATATTAAGAGGAAAATGAGTGACAGCAGGCATAACAATGCTCACAAGAATCTAGGATAATGTTAAGGCATAATGTTGTAGTTTAAGTCTCTGACTCCTGTGTGAGGGAACTGGGTTCAGATTACTGTTGCATTAGGAAGGGTATTAGGTAGTAAAAACCTTTTTTAGTTTGATGCAGAATGAAAGGATAAAAAGCTGGAAGGACTAAAAAAAAGTCTTAAGAACATGCATAACATCTTCCCTTCTTAAAATGAAACCCTGTGGTATTTTAACTGTGTAGTTATATGCTTTATTTGCATTTCAGATAAAATTAACATACACATAACCTTTACCTTCTAGTTCCTCAGTTTTGCTGCAATATATAACATCAGTGTGTTGAATCTGATCATTTCCATGGATTTTACCCAGATGTTTCTGAACTTAATTATGCAGCTTGCCCTTATTATCACCATTGAATGCTATTAAAGCATTCTTTGGTAATTGTTCCAAGTCTGTTGCTGAAGAAATGACTGGGTGGTGAACCGACTACTTCATGATGATGCTTGTTTTGTGCCTGTTAAAAGCTAGAGAAAAAGTTTTGCAGTATGACATAGCCTGGAAAACAGTGATTCAGTTCACAGAAGCAGCAATATGCAACAATAATTTTACTTCTCTCAATGAAATTCTTTTACATTGTGATCTTAATATTTTTCATGGTGAAAGATCAGTCTTTATTGTCTGATATTGAATACCTTTTCATGTTCCTGGGTTTCTTGTTGAGTCTTTGGCTTTAAACACTAAAGACCAATGAATTTATATCTGGCAGCTCTTTCACAATCAGTTTGTCTTTGAACCATATGAAGGAGTAGGTTCCTTGTTTTTTGAAAACATGGTCTGATATTGTAAATGAATGTGGGTATGAAGATCTCATCTCTCCAATTTCTGTAACTGGACAATAACATTGCAAATAAGTGTTTTCCTGCAGCAAACCAAAACAATCAAACATTGGTCAATCTTTTCCAACATTTTTTTTATTGTGGGAAATATTGAAGGTTTTTTTCCCTCACTGGATACTGTTATTGCATTTAAAGCTTTGGTAAGGCCTTGACAAGTCACTCCTTTTGTTTTTTTTAGTTTTACCTTGGTAAGATAAAAGTTATTAATGAAGCACCTTAAGCCTGAAGAGATCTCCTGACAAATGTGAAGAGTAAAACACAGCATGTCTATGAGTGTCTTAGGTAGAGAAGATGGACAACAGAAATAGATTTTTGACGGATCTACATCCTAATGAGCTCATAAACTTTTTTGAAATAAACAAAAATCAAAATATGGCTTAGATAAACTTCAGCATCCTCTAGGAGGTAAATTAGGCAGTTTTAATCTCTGGACTCATTAGTTGAATTTAATTGAGGATAAATGATTTACTGAAAATTGAAAAGATGTACAAACAATAAATTACAGAAAAACTTCCATATTATTTTCAATCTGTAAAATTCTCCCAATAATGAGCCTTTTTTTTTTATTGAAAAGGTCACAGAAAAACATATATAAATACACCCAGTAGAAAAGGTACAGTACAGTAAAAGGCAAATACAGACTTTGGTAAAAAAATAAAAAATAAATAAAAAATAGGTGAGATATTATATAATGTTTGTGTCTTGAAGTTCACTTGTGTGAAGAATTTTCCTCTCAGGCTTTTATTTCTGCATGAGGCATTTCTCACAATCCAGGCTGGTGCGTAAAAGCAGTGAAAGACAGATTAATCTGCTCTGCAATGTGCTTCAAAGTCTGCCTCTTTGCACTGTGATTTGAGGACCAATTCACCCCCGTTCTCCTCCAGGAGGCAAATTACAAGAATAACAATGGAAGCCGCTGCTCAGACACACATCATGATACACATCTCTTAACCAAGTCTGTTTTCTATTATCGTTTAATTTCTTTTCATCAATGATTAGGAATGCAGTACTGTATTTTTTCTTCTTCTATAAACCAATCACAACTCTTAGAAGACAGCGCCACAACTAGCAATCAAACCTCCTAAGCTAAAACTTCTTGGCAGGAATTTGTTTGCTATGATAGGAGTATTTTGGTCCCTTGCAACATCATATATTTGTTCCCTTGTCCCTTACAGGTGTTCATCGTCTGCTTACGTATTCAACATGTGCACCAATAGGTAATCTAACTATCTGTACAAATGGTTTTTGGTTCTGTTACTCCATTTTAAAGATCTTCTGATGTCTTCATTTCCTGTTGCCTGTTATGCTGTTGCAATTAGTTATTTGTGATCATGTCATCCTCATATCTGCGATTGAGCCCACAATCACACCAATATGTAAAAAGACAAGGGCCACTCTGAGCAATTTAGTGTTAAAGAAAAAGCATCTAATAAATATTGTGCAATGTAAGCATAATTTCAATTAACAACATTTTTCTCCTTTTCACTGATACATTTTTTACAGTGTCATAAAGGCTCTTGAGACTCCCAAGCAGTGACATTATGTCCACATTTGTTAGGCCTTTTTTTGTTTTTATTCAGTATATACAATTTTTAATTATTTTATCTTTAAGACAACCATAAATATTTTTGCATGATCTCACCTATCAAACATATAGGATTCCTATATGGACCCCCTTATCCAGGGAGATAGGTTGTGCTCTCACCTCTTACATCATCACTCCCTTCATCAACCCTTAGCTTTATCCTGAAGACATTTGAAACATCAGTTGGTCTGCAGGTTGTTTCATCTCACATATGTGGGCTCCAGTCAGTCTCTGGTCAAAACACAGCTGCTCATTAGCCAAAGAAAGACCTTGTTCATCTGACCCCTGATATTCTCCTAATTCACTTAAGAAACATACATGGGGCAAACAGAGTTGCCTGGCAACTGTAATGTCAAGGAACATATATTGAATCCTGCAGTATGTGCTTAATCTAAGACAAAGGATCAAATACTGTATAGCTTGCTGGCATAACGATGATGGTTTTAGCAGCCATAAAAAAAAAAAAAAAAAAACTAATTTTGCAGTGGGGATGAAGATCAAAGAGTTAGCCATGTCTTCTTATAAACTTACATTTAGGGTTCTGTGTATGGGGTGCAAAGTTTTGTGAAATTGGTTAGTCGGAAATAGCCTTTCATGGTCATATAATCAGTGTCACATAAAAGAAAGAGTATCAGCTCCTCTCCTCTTAATTCCTTCCTTGAATTTTATCCCTGCAATTAGAGCATCAGCATCTTCCCCTGGAAGTGAAGCCCACTCACCCCCCTCCCCGCCCTTCCTGCGCAGCGACCAGCGTAAAACCAAGCGCCAGGCTCATGAATGAGAGACACAGACTTTACCGCCAGGGAGCATAAACGGAGTTCCGGAGAAAATGTTGACTGGAGACTCTGAATGATTCAGTTTTAGACTCTTTCTTTGTCTTAGACAAGCTTGTAATGTCCACGGTTCGGGAGATGAAATTGTTTTCTGGGCAGAACGCATCCAGAGCCAAACAGAGGCTCCCATTAAATCAGTGATTGCACCAAATCGGTTCAAGTTTTTGTCTGCGTGGAGTAAAAATTTACTCCCTCCCGCCAGAGAGCACCGATGATGTCTCTAGTGGTTCACCTGAAGACGGTGGCTCACCTTCGGGGGAAAGGTGACAGGATCGCGAAAGTTACATTCAGAGGTAGGAACATTCAGCAGCATGGATGAATGTTGAGGCTGTTTGAAGTTCTGGTACTTCATGTAATGGACCAATAATAATTTAAGTAGTGAATAATTTAAGGGGCAAAAAAGTTCATGTTTTTCAACAAACAATTAACGGAAAGAAGAAGGAAACCTGAGAAATGCTTTGTATTCAGACTCCCCTATTCTATGCTTAATGCAGTTATCCTGGTTTGATGTGAATCTTTTCTTAAGTCATTTTGCAGAATCCAACATGCCTATTTTCCTAGTTTGCCCGGAATTGACCTCCATCTATTTAGTCAAATCAGGTCTGACCAGCTTCCCTGTTATAGATGAGCATTACCATTCCCCCAGGATTAAACTGCCTCCACCTTGTTTCATTGTGAGGACTCTGTCTCCAATGTTGTGTAACACAAAGCATTTTGCTTAAAGGGTAAACAATTGTTCTGTCATATCTTGACAGGAGCACTATCTTCTACAATGTATCACTTTTACACAAATTACTTTTGCCAAACTGGACATTGGACTTTCTTGTGTCAGTGGCTTTCTAACTAATTATTGAAGTGTATTATATTGAGCAAAGGGTGTGAAAACAGATGCATACCATACATTCTTAAAATATACACATAAAAATTTGACCATTATGTGTTATTTGTCTTTCACCTATCATGTTCAATGAGTTCGTCAGACATTATCTCTTAATGAGATCCACTGAAGTTTGTAGTTATAACAAAACAATGTGTGAACATGTTCAATAGTATGAGAGTTATTGTCAGTTTTTATATTCAGTTGTCAATATAACAAAATTGTCTAACATAAAAGCCATTTTTATCATATATGGGGAACACGTTTTGGTGTGAAACCAAAGACAACAATATTGTTGTTTAATGCGTTTTTATTGATATGTACAAAGCTTCTTTCTCCTTCCTGTTTTCATACTGTACACATATACAGCATCCAGACAAATCTGTGGCTTTATTCACTCTTCCTTGTGTTTTCTGTGTAAGGGAGATAAGGAGACAGGAACTGTAGGTGTGCACCTTTCAGCACCTTGGACAGCGATCAGTGCTCTCTGACAGGCGCTTAGTGCCTCTTTAACTCTCGTTTAACAATGCCAGTGTCATCATCTTTACAGTGAGGGATGCTACAAAATCTACCTCCAGTTCTTGTTCTTTTTTCTGCTCTGTTTGTATATCTGTGTGTGTGTGTGCAGTGGAGAAAAGGATGGCTCTCAGTGTTAGGCTCTGTGGTGCAGTGATTTCGCTTGGGTACAGATATTATATGAAGCGTGTCATCCTTGTCAGAAATTAGATGCTGCGTGCCTTTCTCTGTGGTGCAACTGTCAGCTTAAGAACTGCAGTTCATCTCTTTATAATTTGAAATAAATTCACCAATGTTTCCTGTGTGAGAGCCTTAGAAATATTCAGGTTGCAATTGCCTTCCTTTTTAGAAAAATGGTTCAGGGTATGAAGGTACACTGCCTTTAATCTTTATATACACTATATTGCCAAAAGTATTTGCTCACCTGCCTTGACTCACATATGAGCTTAAGTGACATCCCGTTCCTAATCCATAGGGTTCAATATGACGTCGGTCCACCCTTTGCAGCTAGAACAGCTTCAACTCTTCTGGGAAGGCTGTCCACAAGGTTTAGGAGTGTGTTTATGGGAATTTTTGACCATTCTTCCAGAAGCGCATTTGTGAGGTCGCACACTGATGTTGGACGAGAAGGCCTGGCTCTCAGTCTCCGCTCTAATTCATCCCAAAGGTGTTCTATCGGGTTGAGGTCAGGACTCTGTGCAGGCCAGTCAAGTTCATCCACACCAGACTCTGTCATCCATGTCTTTATGGACCTTGCTTTGTGCACTGGTGCACAGTCATGTTGGAAGAGGAAGGGGCCAGCTCCAAACTGTTCCCACAAAGTTGGGAGCATGGAATTGTCCAAAATGTCTTGGTATGCTGAAGCATTCAGAGTTCCTTTCACTGGAACTAAGGGGCCAAGCCCAGCTCCTGAAAAACAACCCCACACCATAATCCCCCCTCCACCAAACTTTACACTTGGCACAATGCAGTCAGACAAGTACCGTTCTCCTGGCAACCGCCAAACCCAGACCCGTCCATCAGATTGCCAGATGGAGAAGCGCGATTCGTCACTCCAGAGAACGCGTCTCCACTGCTCTAGAGTCCAGTGGCGGCGTGCTTTACACCACCGCATCCGACGCTTTGCATTGCACTTGGTGATGTATGGCTTGGATGCAGCTGCTCGACCATGGAAACCCATTCCATGAAGCTCTCTGCGCACTGTTCTTGAGCTAATCTGAAGGCCACATGAAGTTTGGAGGTCTGTAGTGATTGACTCTGCAGAAAGTTGGCGACCTCTTCGCACTATGCGCGTCAGCATCCGCTGACCCCGCTCCGTCAGTTTACGTGGCCTACCACTTCGTGGCTGAGTTGCTGTCGTTCCCAAACACTTCCATTTTCTTATAATACAGCTGACAGTTGACTGTGGAATATTTAGGAGCGAGGAAATTTCACGACTGGATTTGTTGCACAGGTGGCATCCTATCACAGTTCCACGCTGGAATTCACTGAGCTCCTGAGAGCGACCCATTCTTTCACAAATGTTTGTAAAAACAGTCTGCATACCTAGGTGCTTGAATTTATACACCTGTGGCCATGGAAGTGATTGGAACACCTGATTCCAATAATTTGGATGGGTGAGCAAATACTTTTGGCAATATAGTGTACATTAGGGCTTTTATGTGTTCTCTCTTTGAAACTAAAAACATAACTATACCCTCTATTGGTTCTATCTTATCAACAAAAGTAGCATAATTGTATATTACCTCAAATTTACAATATTTATGATAAAAAGATTTGATTTGCTAATAGAAAATAGATAATGATTGTGAGTGTTTTTATCAGAGGCCTTTTGCTAGATAAGCTCAACTTTGCAGAAGTCCTCTAATTTTAGATAGGGCATTGAGTGTAGTTTGATCTCATTATAAATACTGCTGATCTGTTTATGTTTTTAAAGAATATTTTGTGAACAACACCGTGGAGAGCAAGGAATACAGCAGGCTGGTTAATAATAAAGTTGTGGGGAAGCTTCAAAACTGGGTCAGGTTATATTACAACATCCCAAGCTTTGCACATCCAATGGTACATTATTTATGCTGTAATATAAAAAAAAAAAAAATAGAAACATATGCAACCTAACATGATATGGCCATCCAAATAAACTGATACGCTGGGGAAGAAAGCATTAATCAAATGAGCAGGCAGATCTTGGATCATAAGCACAGGCAGGATGTTTACCTGTTCACTCCTCAAATCTAACCTTTAGGATCAACAACAAGAAAGTCTTTAGAAACTATTTGATCTGGAAGACCACAATTTAACTTTTTGCTTACCATTTAAAGGGTTATCTGTGGCAGAACATAACTACCCCTCCCCATGAACACACACCATCCTGAATGTCAAGCATGGCTGGAACATCATACTGTATAGATAATGGTATTGAAATTAAAATATATTCAAGCTTAATACTATAGAAAAGGTCTTTGAGCAAATGTCCTGACTGAAGACAATGTATGAAGTTAGGTTTTCTCAAGTCATTAGGAAAATTGTTTAAATGGTGAAATATAAAGAGCTTGGTGTACTGTGTATAGCACAGCAAGTGTACAATACAGGGTGTTTTTTTGTTTTTACCCTGTATTGTTTTAGTGAATGTTTTTGCGTTCTTTGTTTTGCTTTTTTTTTTCTAAAAAAAGAGTAAAACACATAAAAGACCAAATGGCTTAGACATTAAACAGCTGCATCGGAAAACATAATAAAAGTAGAAAGACTTAAGATTCATTAAGTATATTTAGAGACAATAATCTCTCAAACCAATACCTTAGACATATATAGGCAATCAGTGGCTTACGCAATTTTTGTTTCTTACCAGCAAGCCTATATTTCGATTGTTCAGAGTAACTCTACTTCTTTACTACTATTGCTCTCGTCAGCCTTGTGCTTTGTTGTTTTTAAAGTTTTTTTGACAAGTATTTTGACAATACATCCACAAGATTGCAACTCTTCACAATCCTGCACCATGAAACAAGACATTCAATCCAACAAATACTTATTATTTATTAGACCAAAACCTGCCCCAGAATTTGAGAACTTTGTGGGCTGTATTGTTTGTTTAGTATCCCTGAATTGTTTAATTGATCTAAGTTTAATTGCTGTTGTGTATTACTATTCCTGCTTTTATTTTACTTAGCTTCATCCTCCCCTTTGTTTCTGTGTATTTCGGTCCAGTTTACTCCCTGTTGTCTTGTGTTTGTTTTCAGGTCATGTGTTTTTTAATTTCTCATAATTTTTCCTACTTCATATATTTTCACTTTGAGCCAGAGTATTGTTTTTTTCCCATAAGCATAGGCATTATCTCTTTGCTTTGGTTATGCCTCCAATGAAAGAGTCTTTGCATATTTTGTCTCTTAGTTACACGGGTACCTAATACCAAACTAAATATGTTGTTTTTTTGTTTTTATTTTTTCAAAAAATGAATGGTTCATGAATATGAATTTGAAACCAACCCCCTCTATGTTTTTTATTGTTCTAGTTTTGTTTTGGCAGTAGGTTTCACTTGCTGCTGCTACATTCCGTCACGTTTCTTCATCAAGTTGTGTTTTCAGTTCTTTTCCTTGGCTGCTAGAACAGATTGAATATAATTGAAAAAAAACTTTTTTGGTTGATGATATGCTCTGAATCCTTAAAGTAAACAGTTTTTGTTTTACCTGCTTTAAATTCTGCTGAAAAATATTTTCTGTTAAGCAACTTCTGCTTTCCTGATTATTAATCAGTTAATTCATAATAAATTCTAATCATCATAAGGTATCAGACAGTAATAAAAATATTTTGTGTCTGTTTATACAGTTGTGGAGTTTTGAAGCTGAGACAGAAGCATTTCTTGCAAGAAAAAAGGTTCAAACTTATTGGTTGTCCTCAGATGGA